ATAAACAGTTCATATAAATACAGCCAGAAAAAATAAAGAAAGCAGTCAGTTTGTAAAATCTTGAACTTGCGTCTTTTTGTCCAACCTCGTCGCCATCTGTTTCTTTCCAAACTCAACCGGACTCTCACCGGAACACTGATGAGAATTAGTTAAGAATTAGTCATAAGTAGTCATAATTAATAAGAATTAGTCATAATTAGTAATAAGATATATAAGATAGCAGAAAGAGCCGAGAAGAAACAATTTGACACTACAGCAAGTAGAAATATTGATATTTTTGTATTTATAAGTTCCGGAGTGGAAGTCTTCTCTTGTTCGAATAAATAGTTCTGTGAAATTGTAAAGTATAACTCTTAATTATACTCTTACAACGTAACACTGGTAAGAAGTCTTAACGTCTGTCACGTGTATCGTAGTTATGACGCGATCACTTATTGTCTTCATTCCTGGTCGCTGATCCGCGTGTCTGTTATGTTTAGCGTATTGTAGAAATGGTCGATCAATTTCACTGTTTTTGTTAGGACAACTACGTTAGGGCAATCAAACAGCTCGAAACTTCAAAGTAATTGGTTAGCTATCACATTCGTATAAATAGGCCGGCCGGAGAAAACAGTGCGACAATTACAAATTAGTGTGTGCAAAACTCATTGTTAGTGATAGTGACAGTTAATTGGCAGACGTTACATTATGTCATAAAATATACAGTCTACTCATCACAATCTCGAATCTTATTGGATTCGTTTCGTTTGTTTCATTTCGCTATATTTCACTCACACGCTATCCACCTCAAAATTCAAGCATCTCGAACCGAATATTGCTTACAATTAGTCCATCGAGCCACAACAATAATAGTTCAAGTTATCGGCAATTTTTCATCGTTATGTGTTTGATTATACTCATTAATATATATATACTAAAAAAAAAACTTTATACATACTAAAAACTCATACTAAATACTTACTAACAATAAGTAATATAAATACAAATCTAATCGTTCGACTATCTTGTGGTGGCGGAATTAAAGGTCATTTTAAAACAAAAATACAAAACAAATTTCTAAATTCCATAGACTCGTTTGAATTTGTGAAATTTGGAAAGAATGAAAATAACTTCAATTTCTCACACCATTTTGTAACAAAATAGAATCCTTGTCTTAAGAACGTGATTTTTAATTCTAATACATATTGTTTTAATATAGGTCTGAATACAATGTCTTGAAAAAAAATAAAAAAAAAATTTTTTTTAAATTATGTGTCTGACACATAGAAAGTTTATAATGTTCATCCAAAACAAATAAAAAATATTTATTCAACGCGGATTCTAAAATCAATTCTTCCTATTTAAAATCAATTTTCATTATTTATAACATTCAATATCAGATGAAATCTCTTCGTAATGCATTGAATATATTGTATAAACGATAAAAGCGAAATAATATTATCGCAAATTTAGTCAAATATTTGACAATTTTATATCAATAAATATACTAATAATAAATCAGTTTCGCTTCCGATATAGAAGAATCAAAAATATTAGTTAAAAGTTATAAATATTAATAACAATAGACGTATTTCATAGACTATTATTAAGGTCAATCACGACTGATGTCGATCATGCACCTTTGAAGGACCATCCACTGATGTGGGAATGAAAAAGACACTAATTTTGATGTGGACTTGTGTTTATTATGTATTGAGCTTAGTGGCTCCTATGCAATTTTTGTTTGAATCAAGAATGTTGAACAAATGACTGAAGGATTGATTTAAATTATAACTATATCTAACTATAACTATTTTGCAACTGAATCTTTATTAAATTTTTGTAACTAACTCTGTTGTGTGTCTCACTTTTATCAAGTCTTGAATTTCCAAAGGAGGCGTTGTGGAAGATGTGCCAATACCAATGAGAAAGTATGAGAAAAGGAAGGAAGAAAAGTCTTCAAAATTTCCCATCGCCATTCATAAGAATGGGGCAGCATTTCTGATAACGATCGTCTTCGGAAAAGTTCGAGTACGCACTTATTATGCCATAGTGATTCACAGGGTACGGAAAACTTCGTCGCACTTAAGACTGGCCTTATTTAGAGTTTTCTAAGTGGTCAAATTCTTACTACGCTGAATTGGGGCACATCCATGTCATAAGTGTTACGTACCTTTAGCCTTAACAACCATAAAGATAATAAACATTCTTCTCGTATTGTTATCAATGTTCGTTTATTATCCCTAGAAATGATTGTCGCAGAAAAATAAATTCTTTTAATGACTATTCAGTGATGAGTAATGATACATTCAGTTTCTTTTACAATGGTTTTAAAAACAGATAATACATTAATAAAACCTGTTTCTATAAATAGTTCATGCAAAAGTAATGTGAACAGCACATTAGTAATGCACAGTTATAAGTAGCAACAATAAGTTACATAAAAATAACATAAGAAATATAAAAATTCGGAAATGAAAAAGATGTTAACATATGATAAGGTTTATCATGTACTTAACAGAATATAAAATATAAGGTTTATCATGTACTTAACAGAATATAAAATATTTTTAATAATTTGAAGACAAGCGTCTTTTCTTAATTTTGGCACGATAACATTCGATAATATTTATAAATTCGATAGTACTTATAAAAATAATGTAATTTTTCTAATAATACTCTGCTATTAAATGCAGATGAAGCACTGGAATTGTGTGTGTCACTTGTGTGTACTTTTAAACTCTTTCAATTTTTATATTTCTTATATTATTATTTTATATCTCATTATTGGAAATTGTCACTACGGAAGTTATTTTTGTATATAGTGAACTATTTATAGAGACAGATTTGCTAACATATCATTTGTTTTCATAAAAATATCGTCAAGAAACTATATCAATATTTTTTTTATAAAATAAAGTAACAAGAGTTTACATCCGCTATATTTGTTTTTCAAATGATTTTTCAAATAAATGTAAATAATACTTGAAATATTACCATTGCAATCAATAAATATAGGTGATATACTTTCATGTTTGTATAGATTTATAACGCCACATTTTTTGATGCATTACTAATGGTTAGTAAAAAGTTTTATTTATTAGACATAGTTTATATAAAAATTTAATATATAATAATAATTACATATAATAATTTATATAATAATAAAATTTATATAATAATAATTTATATAATAATAATTTAAAATATAAAATTTAAAATATAAAATTTATATAATAATAATTTACTAATTGATTTAATTAATAAAAATAGATTTTGAAATTTATACATACAGTGGTAGAAAAAAAGTTAAAAACATGAGATAATCAACAATTTTATAAAATGAAATACATTAAAATTAATGAATAAATATAATGTACATTGCAAAATAAATAATTGCTATTAATGTTAAATGTAGACTAATTTTAATACTAATTTTATGAATCCTCGGTAAGGGTGGTCGATTTTGATTAGATGAACTTATTATTTCACTGGTCGCTCTATATTGTTGTGTGTTGATTTTACTGAATTCCCACAATATTTTTTTTTTTCTTTTATGACCTGTGTTGGTTTCTGCAGTCCCTAGGATTCGATGACCCTTTTACCTGCATATACAATGTAAGATAATTTATTATTTAAAGGCTGAGATAAGTGTGATTTGTTATGTGTCGCAGGAAAAATTTCAAAAAACCTTCGCTTATGTGAACTTCTTGGTGAAGGGGGGGAATTGCTATTTTGTGAGTAGGGCATGTTTTGAAAGTCTTATTTTGATCTTTAACAGGATGCCATTGATATTGTAGTTACCCATGTTGCTTGTGAGTGGGTTGAGTGGTGCAGATCATAAACTGACAATGAATTAAGTGAGTTTGCAATGAAGTTGGTCATTTAAAATTTAAAATTTTGGCTGTTTCCCGCGTTTACCTTGAGGTTTATTCAGTATTATTGAGAAGAATTTGTTTTGAATTTTTTTCACTTTGATAATAAGATACTTTAACTGGTGCCCAGATTTGGTCGGCTGTATTTTGCAATGAGTGGGTAGAGTTTTTTTTAGAGTACTACTGTTTTTTCAGGAATTTCTGTAGTTAAATTGCAGTGATTTTGTCTGGTCCTGGAGCTTTATTGAAAGGAAGGTTTTTAATTATCTTGACGAACATATGAGGTGTACATTTAGAAGCATTTACTTGCGTCGATAGAGATTGCGTTATGATGGCTGATTGTTGTTCTACATCTTTTTCTATGGGAGAGTATTGTTTCAGGACTTTGATGTAGACTTCGAGAAAGCTTTGGGCTAAACTTTCGAGTTTTTTTTCGTCTTGCGTTATTGTTGGGATCTTGCAAGATTGATAGATTGTTTTTTGCTCTTTCTGTGATTTTGTAGATATGCCAAAGGGTATGATCCATTTTATGTATGCTGAATAGTCCATTATGTATGATCCATTTTATGTATGATATGTTTGTCCTGCCAGGTTTTGTTTCTAGTTTCTGTTATTCTTTTCTTTATGGAGCTAGAAAATAAGTTTCTGTAGAGCTTGTGTATGGGATTACCAATATGGTGTATTCTTCTACGTCTATTTTTTTCTTTAATTAGTTTCTGCAGTGTCCAGTTGTGATCTAGTAGTAATGCGTCGCAGGTAGCTTTGTAAAATGCTGTTTGGAGCCCCTATTTTTGTGTCTATGTCGGTCGTGGTCTGAAGGTGCGGATTTACTTTTAGTTCGTTGCAATGTTTGGCATACATGTTCCAGTTGGTTTTGTTGTGCATGGTTGTGCTGTATCTCTTCTTATTTGCAGCGATAGCGTAACCGAGAGGTGATTGGATGATAGGTCGTCTATGGTTTGGCACGTATGTTGATAAGGAATTTGAAAGGAAGATGTCAATGTTTAAAGGAGCGCAATTAGATTGTTTGTAAGTGTAAATTGAGCTATGAATAATCTGATAGTTACAGTTCCGCACGATTGATAGTAAATCTGTTTCTCCGAAGGTTGTTCCATACGTGATGCTTTGCACGGAATCACTTTGAAATCACCTATGATAAAGTACTCCGTGCAGTGAGATAATGGAGTCGAGATCTGTTGTTAAAATTTTGGTTTTTGGGCGTGCGTACACCGCCCCTATTATGAGGTATATAGTGGTTTTGACCTTGATTGATAGGAAATCGATGTTGGGGAAGGCCAGTTGTGGGATGTCCTCAGCGGGGATACTGTTTCGTATTGCTATGAGTACTGCACCCTTGGATTTGTTGGTATTAATTGGGAATCCATCTTTCCTGTGTAGAGTATAATCTAGGATTTTTAGGATTTCTTTAGGAATTAGCCAGGTTTCTGTAATAATGGCAATGTCTGTGTTTTATACTGTGAGAGATTTGTGCAACTGCTTTGTTTCTGACGCGTTCTGATAGCGTTTCATAAAGTGATATTCAGGAGATTTTTAAAGCTGACCATTTTCAAGCTCCATGACTATTTGAATTGTGGCTAGATTATTTATGCATTTGGTAATATTTTTGGTAATATTTTTGTATGAGTGAGATGATTTTGAAAAGCAGATTTAGATCTGTGGACTGGAGCTCATTTAACTGATTGGATAATTCGATGCTGTCGTGTCGTGTAGCTGTGTGTGGTTATGATACCGCTTTCGCGTATGTTATTCCTAGTCATGTAGACTGTGTGGGTGTACTTCTGGAAGGTATGGAGGAAATGTGTGTGTGTGTGTAAGAAGTTCTCTCTTATTATCATTCTTATGATCATTTTTTTTTGGCTAGGCAAACAAGGAGGGCACTTAGAATAGTTGGCTGAATGTATGACTTTATAATTTGCGCATATGGCTGGCGTCTCAAGTTTCTTAGTGCATGCTCTTGTATCATGTAGTCTCGCACACTTGACGCAGACTGCTTTCTTATTGCAGTTCGCGAAAGTGTATTCGTGGGCTTGGCAACAAAAATACTGGATGATGGGCTTATAGGATTTGTATTTTTCCCAGATCTTAATGTTTTTTAGCCCTTTGTGATCGGCACACTTCTCTGGTGGGACTACCAGCTAGTCGGAGTATATTTAAACTTTTGAAGTAATTTTTTCATAGCTGATTTATTATATATATAAAAATATTGAAAAACAAACTATTTTGAAACTGATATATTTGTTTAATGTTAGTTATAGTGCATAAAAATAAAACATTTTAATTTTTATAATTTTGCAAAGTATAATATTTTACAAAATAATGAAGCCCTGACTTTCGAATATAGATATCACAATACATGCGTATTTCTCGTCTTTTCCCTGGAATTTTCTTGTCGAAAAATATTGCACAGTTGTTTTTCCTGAACAAAATACATGAAACTTATTATTTAACCTGATTTCTACAGAAGATATTGATGGTTGCGCACTAGATGATATACCGTTTCTGAAATTTCTTACTAGTTGATCAATTAATTATTTCACAAAATTTGAATGCGTTAGTAGTGTCTCATTGTTTGTTTCTTTCATCTTTTTATGTAATATATATGAATTGACAACGTACATCTCCATACCCCAAAAAAATAATTTTCTTCACCATTTAAGAGATTTTCTAAGGAAACAGTATT